GACCTACTCGCTGCGAAGTGGACAAAACAATGTTGCGCTGCATCTTTATATATATATATATATACAAACACACACCTTATACATGCACATGTACCTCCAAGATGTAAACTTATAAGAATTTTAAGATGTGCCTCCAGACTCTACTTAGCACAAGATCCAGAAATAGCGTGTGCAAACGTTTGCAAACGAGAGAGGATTCAAGATTCAAGAATCAAGGCCTAGAAAAAAGTTCTTGAACCCAGGATTCCAAACTCTGGATCCTGGATTAAGGTCTTGAACCCAGGATTCAAGAACTTATTTCTAGGCCTTGAATCTTGAATCTTGAATCCCCTCTCGTTTGCAAACGTTTGCAAACGCTATTGTTCGAACAAATTCAGCTTGCAGTTTCTGAAGCTTCGGTTGCAGCTGCACTTCGAATGCTGTCATCCAAAGCCGTTTTCTTGTTCTGCATCTATTGTGTCTTCCTTTTCATTTGTCGCGGTGATGTCGATGAACGTTGCGGGACGAGTTCGCGTGGTGTTCGTCGGGAGCACGGGCAATGGAAGCGCAATGTCACTCATCTGCTTTCTTTCTCAGATGTCCAGATCGTCAAGGCTTGATTGCAGACCAACTCCTTCCAGATTGGGCAGGAAAGGTGTGTCCCAAGTGCAACCAAGGCATACTGTCTTCACTGAAAGTACACTGTGGAGAAAGTGTGCCCAAATACAGCTGCTCCCGCAAAAGTTGCCAGCAAAGAGTTCATCCCACTACTTACTTGCATACTATCTGCCAAGCTTGTCGTGGACCAGAAGGACATTCCCTCCAAGTGCAACCTGCTATGCTCTTGTTGCTACTTCTCCGTGTGCCCTTGGTCTCTGTCCATATCCCCTTGAACATCAACCACAAAGCCGTGGAGAGTATGCAACGGGGCTTGGAAGAAGTTCGCAGAAAGTACGTTGAGAAGAAAGAGAAGGACATAGAAGGGCATTACCTTTGCAAAAGACAAGGGATGGACCGACGTGGAAGGTGATGAGGTCACGTTTCACAAACGTAACGTCTCCCAAGACCCGAACTTCAACCAGCAAGTCGAAGGAGACAAATGCCTTCTATGGGAGCAATGGTGTGGCCTGGTGCAGAGGGGCAAGCCAGACACTCTTATCCTCACTCGCCTGAAACCTGCCCTCACTGTTCATCGTTCTCCAGGCCCTGGGCCCATCACCAAGCGTGATTGGACTCCATTGAACAAAGCACTTGGCTGGAAAAACACATCATCTTTCACATAGACTCCGCCAAGGCCTACAAGCTGAAGCTTCCTGGTATGCACCATGACTCCGTGGCGCACAAGAAAAAGCGGGTCAAGCACCGAAGAAGCCTACCTTTGTCAAGATCGTGAAGCACAAGTTGCCAGGAGGTAAGCAGCTCACGGTCAAGGCGGGCACCCAGCACATAGATCGTTGCTGGAAATTTATCAAGGACCGTCTGTGCAAGGGCACACATTCTGGCACAGGCCTCAAGCGCATCTGGGAACTCGTGCATGACTACATGTCTGGCATTGCCGTGCAGGCTTGATCGCATCTGCCCCCAAAAAAAGTGTTCCATGGCTGTCTCCATTGCTCACCAACAGTTTGGCATCTTCTCCTTTCTTCTTCCACCACTGATTGCAATGTCAAAAGCTGTCGCAGGTGGGCCTGCCAATCATGTGCACAGCATCACAAGCTGTCAAAGTGGTAGACTTTTGGGGGGGTAGTTTAGTTTTTGTCTATTATATTATCATATAAGTTAGAGTCAGAGTGACTTCAAAGCAGCTAGAAAAGGGAATCCCTTCTAAAAGTGCCTTGAATACGGCTTCTACTATATGTAGTCATACTGAGAGAGAGGACTGTAGATCCCTGCAACCTGTGTCGCAGGATCCAAAGCTTTCTGATCCGAGCTCCACTGCGTTCTACTCTGCCAGGGTCACAGAACATCCTTGCTGGAAAGGACTTTTCTAATCAATACATTTTAGGAAACTTCCTTGGGAATTTTTTCACTGGGAATCGTTTCACGTGTAATAACAAGAAACTTTTTGTTTGTGTTTGAGCGCACTAGTCATAAGAAACTACTGGTACTAGGTTGGAGGGCATCGCTATTAGGATGGAGATTGTGCTTCCACCGTTACCTTCGCGTCGAATCCCATTCTCCTTGGCTGCCTCGGCCTATACACATTGATGTGCTCCAACAATGATATGCCATGAAATCTGGTAAAATCTGCGCTGAAGAGGTTGCTTTGAGATTTCTGGGAGCTTGTGTGGCAGATGCCGTTGAAGTCTCTCTCCCACACGTGGATCATCCCAGGCTTCGTTTACTGCAAGCCTGCAAGGGCGGGTCGGGCTCTACATTGAGGCTGCTTGGACGTCACACCGCGGTTAGGGCAGAGCGCGGTGTCCGGGGCGGGCGGAGCTGGCCGTTGCGTGTGAAAAAACGGTCTTTGTGGGTGAAGCATCGGTCCACCCCGTCCGAGTCCATCGGAATCGGTTTGACCCGGATGAAAAATGAAGCGGGCGAGTTCGTAAGCAGGGTCCATTGGATTGGCTGAAGGATTTTCCAAAACGTCCCCTGACAGTTCACCTGAGTAGAGTAGCTCTGCTGTGCGGGGTAGTTGACGGAAGGGTAGCAGATTTGCTTAGTGCCATGTGGATGACACTGGGACAGTGTGGCTATGAGCTCACTAGACACGTTTGACGCAACCCTTTTTGTGCAGTCTCCACGACGTGTGTGAAAGTACGGGAGGCCAGGCGAAAGGCTTGTTTGGCCGAAAAGTGCTGGGAAGCTAGGCCGCTGAGGTTTTTGGTTCCTTGGTGGTTTGTCCATGTTTGTCCTCCTTCTCGTAAGGCAAACGAATTGATTGCAATTTGCAATTGTACGCTAGTAGCTCCTTGTTATTAGTAACAAGGGCATTGCTACTAGTAACAAGGGCATTTATTACTAGTAACAAGAAGCTACTAGTTTGTTTTGTCTGACAACCTTAACAGGTGGGTTGACTCCAACTCGCCCACTGACCACAAAAACACCACAGCCCAACAAGGACTGTTTTAAAACATGGTTCGGTCGGACTTCGGGTGTCCCCAATTCGATGGTTGGAACCAGTCCACGGTCAATCGGTTTCATGGACATGTCACTCCAATTTGGACTGCAAGGAACAACAGGGATCTCTGAAGTTTTTGAGTCACGAACATAGGGGGAAAACCCCGCTTGGGGGTGTTTGCTTCGGGCTGCTGGTTCTTGGCTCTTGGGTTTTGTTTTCGTTATTTGGCATGTGTCACTTAGAGTTTGGCCTATCTTTGCCCTATCTTTCTTTCTTTTGGGTTGCTTGATGTTTCGGTGAGAGTTTCTTACGTTCGTTTGAGTTTTGTCCCGAAAAGGTGTCTGCTAAACGGTGTCTGCTTGTTGTTTCAGATCGTTGCGGCCGAGCTGCCTTGATTGGGGAGTAATGCTGCAGATGCGCTCAGCAGTCCCTCAGGATGTAGTTCCCTCGTTCTACAGTCTTAGCTGTGAGCAGAAGCCTGTCAAAGCTGCAATGGCCATATTTTATCAATTCTCGGTGACCAGCTAATTGATGCTCTCTGGAGCCTCATGAGCTCGTAAAAATCGCTTGGTACATGTTGGTACACGGCTGGATGAGGTGTTCCCCTCGTGGGCTTGGGGCCGTTTCCTCGTGGAGTCGTCTGACACTCTGAGGAGTCGTCTGCTGGTGACCCCTACAACGCGGGAGCCCTGTGGGGCTCCGACACGACAAGACGGGCAGATGCGCAGACTGGCCTTGGAGACGGGCAGATGCCAGAGTGGGTCGCATCGACGAAGGAGTAAGCGTCCTTGCTCTTAGTAGCGATGCTAGCAGCAAGAATGCTCCTAGACTCCTAGTAGCGATGCCAAGAGCCCCTAGTAGCCTTCTTGTTCCTAGTAGTAAGGCCAGGAGCCCCTAGTAGCGCCCTTGCTCCTAGTAGCGATGCCCTTTGCTCCTAGTAGCAAAAATGCTCCTAGTAGTAAGGCCAGGAGCCCCTAGTAGCGTCCTTGCTCCTAGTAGGGATGCCAGGAGCCCCTTGTAGCGTCCTTGCTCCTAGTAGCGATGCCAGGAGCCCCTTGTAGCCCTAGTAGCAAGAATGCTCCTAGTAGCGATGCCAGGAGCCCCTAGTAGCGCCCTTGCTCCTAGTAGCGATGCCCTTTGCTCCTAGTAGCAAAAATGCTCCTAGTAGTAAGGCCAGGAGCCCCTAGTAGCGTCCTTGCTCCTAGTAGCGATGCCAGGAGCCCCTAGTAGCGCCCTTGCTCCTAGTAGCGATGCCCTTTGCTCCTAGTAGCAAAAATGCTCCTAGTAGTAAGGCCAGGAGCCCCTAGTAGCGTCCTTGCTCCTAGTAGCGATGCCAGGAGCCCCTAGTAGCATCCTTCCAGAGTCGGTCGGATCGATGAAGGATCGGGTTTAGACATCGTTGACAGAACACATCCCAAAACGCTGGGTTTGGACATCATGTAGACTCTTGAAAATCCCACCCCATTTGGATTGAAACACCTGTGTATATGGGGATTATTGGGGTTTATTCATCAAGAGTCTACATTACTTACCTTGTTGGTTAGACCTCGTGGTTCACGTCTTGTCTCTCACGCTACCTCGGCAGGCGAAACGCTTTGCATTGTTTGAGACCAAACACCGGCTCGACATCTTTGATTAGACGAGCAAGCGAGCCGCATGCGGAAAAGGAATGGTTTTACTTGGGTTCCTCTTCGATTCTTGCGAGTTCACAAGCTCCGAATTGGCACCGCTGGCGGAGGCCGAATGGTTGCAAGCTTACCTCACTGCCTTCCAAAGGCCTTCTGTCATCGAGCTTTTGTGTAGATGTCTTTACGGGTGTGTCTTGAGTGCCGGATACTTTGTCAAGAGTTTATTTGTGCTCTGTACGCAAAGCACATGGATGATCTCATAGGGCAACTTTTGTGCCCATGGAAACGCAACGTCCGTCCCGTCCCTCAGAGGAGGATGGGTGCACGTGATCTTTCCATATCTTCTCTTTACATCCATTCGTTCTTTCAACTCAGACAAGACCACTCGCAGCAATGACCCATGTCCAAGCTCAGCTTGGCGCTCAGACGGCGAGCATCCACGCCGCCATCCCGTCAGGATGGGCCTGCAGCCACATCTCGTGTCCACGAGTCAGGACCCGAGACGTCCGGCCCGACCGGTCGGACACCGCCGATGTGGCGCGGGGGCCGCGTTCCGCACAAGCAGAAACGCCTGTGGAAGATGCCAGCGACGCCGAATGAAGACGGCTAAGCAGGTTTGCGAGCGAGGAGAGGCTCAGCCCCGATCTGCACGCCCCCCAGGAGGCCCAAGCTGGTGCCCTCTACTTTTGGCGCATCAACCAGATGTTCGGAGGCCCTCCGCATACCGTTCAGGTGACCGGAGGTCCCAAACGTGGGGTTTGAGTCGGTGCGAGTCGTTTCGGGTCGTTCCTCGGTCGAGACTTTTGGGGGAGGCCCAAACGTGGGGCGCCAAAGTGGTCCGTGAGCTGCTTGCTGACCTGCTTCGCGGGCTACTGGCAGGTCATCCCTTGTGCTCTCTCAAGTGACGGGGTAGGCCGGTAGGTAGGTCCTTGTATTGAACAGCACGTGGCCAAAGACGCGCACGGTGTGCTGGTCATGTGCTGCTCCTCGCCAAGTCCCCCGATGAAATGTGGATTGATTCGGATCACCAATCACCGGAAGCATCAATTCGTCAGATGGATAATATGGCAAATGTACATGGACTGATCAGAGTCTTTGGGTGCATTTGCTTGGGGGAGCTTCCTGGGTATGCCCAGGCTTAGCACTGAGAGACACTCTTGTGCAACGTTGGTGGCACCACCAGCCGCCTCCAGCTTGACCGACCTTCCACACCAACTTGACATGGTGAAGGAGACGGGTCATGCCATTGGTGTCATAGCCTTTGTTCACGATCCCACCTCCAACGACGTGGGGCTCCTGGCATCGCTACCAGGAGCAAGGACGCTGGGGCTCCTGCCATATAGCATATAGCCTTTGAACAGGGTGCGACTCTGGTACTCCAAGCGATGTTTTCTTAGTGAAAAGCTTTTGAGCGCCTGGCTCTTCCTGCTTGACAGGCGGTCGACTGGCTGGTTCACCTGGCGTGGGCCTGGCGGTGGCTCAGCACCTGGCTGACCGGGTGCTCAGCCGAGCCCGGGGGACCTCCCACCATCCACCGGGCGTCTTGATCCGGGGCACCTCCCTGTGGCGGGTCAAGGCTTTGATCCGCACCCCAACAAACGTCCAACAACGTGGACAGTTCTGGGACGGCTGGACGGATGATCCTTAAAGAAACAGCATGAAACAGGACGCCTGGAAGCAGAGCGCTCCTCCAGCCCTTGCGGGTTCAGAGTCTTCTAGATGATGTCCCTGAGTTTCGAGTTCTGCCACCAGGAAGAGTTGGTTTTGGTCGCCACAACCACAGTCGTCACACCCACGATTCGCAGAGTTGAGAAGTGTGAGAACCTCCCCACCCCCTCGGAGCGCGCCGTGCGGTGCATCGTTTTTTTTGGGGCTCCGCAACCGGCTGCCGGCTCCCACGGTGCCGGCTCCGACTCCAAACAGCACCGGTCAAAAAACAGTACAGTAATGTTAGAGTCTTGGGCTGATAACCCCCATATATAAGCCCCATTTTCAAAAGGATCTTTACTTCATCTAAATGGGGAGGGTCCGGTTTATGAATCAAGAGTCTACATGAACGGTTTCCCCTGGAAACCGGGGGCACCTGGACCTCCTCCCACCCCGGCCGGTGGAGCGAGGCCTTTCAGACCGCCCTGTGGCCGCGACCAGAGACGATGCAGCGGGGAGACCCGCGAGATGCTGCGCGGGGAGACCGGAGCCTCCACCGGTAGCTGCCCACCATGCGGTTTTTTTCCGCATGCTGCTCCCACAAGTGGGAGAGAAGAGGAAAGACATGGAGCCAACATTGAATGGTTCATGTATGTTCATGTTGGCAGCTGTCGAATCCCACCGGGGCTGTCGGAAGAAAATGTTCTGCACTCTTCAGGTTCTATCAGGACAAGATTGCCCTGCGGGATCTCTTCACCAGGACGAGTTGCCATGTTGGTCACCGTGCTTCGTCAGGACCGTTTCCTTGCAAACCGACCCAGGTGCCGAGGCACCCCACGAGACTCTCCCTCTTGAAGTGACTCCCAGTCCGGTATGTATAAGGGTACGGTATACGCATCAGTATGTGTACACACTACCACTTTTCACATGCTTCTCACGCAGTCTTTTGCTTGGCATTCTACATGTCACATATCATATTACCTATCAGCGGCACAATAGCCAAAGGAAGCTTAGTTCTGATCAAATACAAATTTGTCCTGGTGTAGACACGCAGCGTCATACCGGGCCTAGGCTCCAAAAAGAAACCAGGATGAAGGAAGGAATGATGCGGCGAGCATAAGACGCACTGATATGGACGGTGGATGGTTTATTTCCATGATAGCAATGGACAGTAAGATTATGTAAGATTCAGATATGCAGTGCTGTGCTCTCAGGCAATGAGAGTGGAATGCTATTGGAGTACAAATACAATGTGCAAAGATGTGCAATGTGAATACCACCATCCACCACCTGCAGGCACCTCAGCACCATCCATCCACCAACCATGCACCATCCATCCACCCATGCCTGCAAAGGCGAGCGCCTCGCCCTTCCGCGCCTCGTTTGCCAAGCCCCACCAGGACGGGCGTTCCGGCGCCTCCGAGCTGGGTCGTGCAAAGCCTCGATGAGCTCGAAGACTTGCTGCGGGGGTGCCCAGCGATGGCAAGACAACTGGGTGCCCCTTGGAAAAAAAATGCTCCTGACCCGAGATGGAAGTGCCTTCAGTAAGATGAAAGACTCAAAATATTGCATGACAGAAGTGACCTACAGAAGTTGTGACCTACAGGTTCCCCAGGGAAGCTCGAACTGACGGTGCGATGAGCTTCGTTTGTCCAAGCTTGAACCAAACTTGACTCTTCTTATTGTTGGAAGCTACTAGTAACAGGTGCATCGCTAGTAGTAACAGGTGCATCGCTACTAGTAACAAGAAGCTATTAGGAACAAGTGCCTTACTAGTAGTAACAATAAGACTCCAGTTGTGATGAGCGAACGAAGTTCCCGTCCGCATGGGCTCTGCAGGCAGCGTGGGGACTTGAAAGAGGCCGATTTCCCATTGGCCGGGAGGCCACGGTGGAAACTGGACGGAGGACACTGACACTGCAGTATGATCGGTGGCCCGGACAGGGACGGAGAAGTGGAATCAGCTTGTAGTTTGTAGCTTGTAGCACGTATTCTACATGTATACTACATGTATATACTACGTTGATTCAGTGACTCTTCTGGTGCTCCATTGTGATCACGGATGCCAATGGATACCGTGAAGGAGACGCCGTCGAGTGCGGCGACCATCGGCGACCATCCCGAGAAGCGAAAAGCCATGTGTTTGACATCCCAAAGCCATGTGTGTTTGGGACTCCCTTGGCATGATTCCCTTTGGCATCCCTTCTTTTGCATCATTTTTTTTGTTGCAATTTTTCACCATCAGAGGGTGGAGCGGCATTGTTGCCTTTCCTGGAGCGGCCCCAGTGCTTCCATCTAACGAGAACTTCCGTGGAGCATTTTCTTTCAAAACGGACAAAGCTTCTCGACAGGAGAAACAGGTTTGTTCCAAAATGGCCGGGTCGTTTGTTTGTTTTTCTTTTGCCGACTTGCCCTTTTTGTTGTAGCCCTTTCCTAGAAAAATATCTCGCTGTTTATGAATGTGGATTGAGGCAACTAAGTTTACTAACAGTGATTTTTTGGGGTCCAAAATCCAATATATACACACGGTCATGGGATCTTCGATGGAGCAGAAGAGTATCCTCTCCAAGGTGCTCAAGCACCCCTACGCGGCCTCCAGCCGGGGTATGAGGCCTCGACCTGCTGTGCGGCAGTCACACTGCGCTTGTTGGGGCACGATGGGGAAAAATTGTTCATGTTCTTTCAGGAATGACACTCGTTGCGAGCAACTTGGTAGGAGTCTCTTCCCAGTCTTCCAAGGAAGGGGGACATCACATGTTTGGCTAAGCCCAGGGAACCTCACCAGAAAGGTCTGCTGGGTCAGGCTTTTGCTGGTGAGTGAAGCCCTAGCGAAAAAAGGAGCACGCTCCTCAAAACATTTGGGGCTGGCCCAAAAGCATCACGTAGGATCCCCAAAAACATCACCAGACCAACAAAACAAATCAAAACAGAACCAGCCATCCAACCACTGGAGTAGTGACACTCTGGCAGCTGGAGGTCCTGCAAGACCTTGCCGGAGGTTCGAAGTGTAGTGGGGCAATGGCTCCAAGAGCATCAAGTGCCCGATGCCGAGTGTGAAAGGAGCTGAAGAAGCTGCCAGTCTTCAAGTCTAATGCGAATGGCTTCCACCCTAATAACAATGGCCTCCAACCTACTAGCAATGGCCTCCAACCTAAGAGCGATGGCCTCCAACCTAAGAGCCATGGGAGAGAATGTATATATCCTTTCATCCTGACACTTTCACATGTGGCGCTTCCGGATGGTTATTGACTTCGCTAGTCTTGGACTTTGTGGGGCAACGACTTGAACAGAAGTTGCGTTCTTCGTTTTCATCGCGTTACCATCCCTCCGGACCCGAGAGACCTTTCCCATCCCTCCAGGTTGAAGAGTTTGGAGTGTAGGGTCAACATCTCATGTTGGGAAGGGAGCAAAGGGACCAATGGATACGCAAAGGCCTCTTAAACTCTCAAGTGCAACCTGCACACACCGATCCCACCGCAGCGCCGCGCCCTCTCGAGGCCATGCCTCTTGCAGCGTCGCCTGGCCATTGCTCGCGATATGCGTGTGACCTATGCCTGCGGCCCTCAGACTCGGCAGCTCTTGGAGCGGAGCTTCGTTTGGGGACGAAGCTTCGGGTTGGAGGCCATCGCAAGTAGGTTGGAGGCCATCGCAAGTAGGCTTCTTTCCGAAACTCGAGTCAGCCCACCAGGTGGAACGTCGTAGAACTGGGACCAGCAGGTGCTGGTTAGAGCAGCTTGAGAGTGGTCCTCTTGAATTTGGTCGAATGCAAGTAGGCTTCTTTGAGTTTGGACGGTGGTTTGCTGACGTGGTTTGCCAACTTCTGGTGATGCAAGCTTTCAAGGGGCTTGAACTTCATGCGGCGGCCTGCGGAGGACAGGGTATGCTGAGGTGGTCAAGAACTAGCTCATCATGAAGGATTAGAGTTGCGGTTCAGGGCACAACATAACCTGGGTGCTGTGCTGAGGTTCGGTTGCTCGGTTTCAGAGTTGGATTCAATTGTTTTGGACTATCGCAGGTCACATTGCTTGAACATTGGGTGTGACCTCCCTGGTTCCTGACGTTCCTGGCTCGAAAGAACGTCTCGCTATTGGTCGTCGATTGGGTGGCAACTTGAACAGTTTTTGCATTGGCGTGTACGTTGGCGATTTCAAGGCATGTACGTTTCAGGTGAAAAACTTCTTGTTAGGGCACATCAATCTTTCTGGGAGTACCCCCATTGAACGCCAGGAAACTAGCCAGAATCATCTACAAGTCTACACTACAGTCCAGTGGGTACAAATTTCTCACCTCTTTTGAGTCCTCATAGTTAATCTTTCCGGCTCGGATGTTTTTCTCTCCCCAGGCCCAGATGTTTGGACTCTGTCCCTGCTCCTTCTCCTCCTCCGTCCTCTTGAGGTTGGGGGTGACATCATCCAAGGCTACTGGCGGGTGAAGGCCCATTGAACTGGGTCCAAAAACAGGTTGGAGGCCATTGCTGTTAGGTTGGAGGCCATTGCTATTAGGTTGGAGGCCATTTGCTATTAGGTTAGAGGCCATTGCTATTAGGCTAGAGGCCATTGCTATTACAATAGGTTGGAGGCCATTGCTTTTACAGTGGAGGCAATTGCTATTATTACAGTAGGTTGGAGGCCATTGCTATTAGGTTGGAGGCCATTGCTATTAGGTTGGCGGCCATTGCTATTAGGTTAGAGGCCATTGCTATTAGGTTGGAGGCCATTGCTATTAGGTTGGAGGC